ATATATATTTTTTTCATTTTGTATATTATATATATAGTTTTAACTTATTTAATTTTTTACTTTTAAGTTTTAACAATTGAAATTTATTTATTTATTATATTATTTATTAAAAATAATTATTTTTTTATATAAAAAATGATAATAAATTTCAATAATTGAAAATAGAAAGACAAATGATTAAGATTTTATATAAATGTAATATATAAGATTTATATATTAGTGTTTCCCTCCTTAAATAAAGAGTATGCAAGGAATGAAACACGTTATAAAGTATAATTAAATGAATTAATACATATAATTTAATATTACAGTGAATTTTTAATTAAACATTATAAAAAATGTAAAAATGATATAGTTGCAATTTACCTTATATTTTAAATTTACAATCATAAGATGTCAATATATAATTACTTATAATATTACATATATCTATTTATTTAATAATACGTTATTTAAGTTTATAATTATAAGAGATGAGAAATATCAAAGATACTTAGGTAATGTTATTGTCATACCCTCAATTACTATTGCCACACAGCCCACACCATCAATTACTAATTTCATATTATTTTATTTTAATTGATTATTATACTTTTTAATTTATTAAAAAATAAAAAAATGTAATTTTCTAAAAAAAAACAATGTAATATAATGTTATAATAGGTAATTATATTAAAAAAATGTGACATTAACTATTTAAAAGTTAGCAATAACCCCACCCAAGATACACACCGCTTCTTATTTGATTTAGTTGTCTCAGTTTAATTTTTGCATAAATTTAATCAAATGATATTTTTATAATAACTAAATAACAATTAAATTTTTTTTTCTTTTGATACATAGTTTTTATTAAGTATTTTTATTTAAATAAAAAATTTTCAATTTATATTTATTTATTTAGTATATAAAATTATTAAAATAATTTATATAAAATTAAGAGACTATCACAACAAAAAAAAAAAACTACTAGGAATAGAATATGTGATCAAGATTTAGTTTCCTTAATAATCTAGAATTGTCAGCCTGGGAAAATCTTTCAAAAAAGCCTCAATTTTTCCTCTTTTTTTTTTTTTTTTTCTTTTCTGTATACTCAGTTGTTCCATTTGTAGCACAAAAACTATGGGGATAAAAAAAAATTAATTTTAAATTAGGGTGGATTTTAAAAATATATTCAAAAAAGTCTTAAATCCTCTTTTATCTCTAACTCTCACCCAACTCACATGTCATATAATTTGAATTTGAAATCTTTTATTTTCAAAAAAAAAAAGAAAAAAGAATATCACTAAACTATATAAGTCATTGACAAAATTTTCATTTCATCAACAGTCAAAAAAAGAAAAGAAAATTTTCTCATTTTAGATTTGAAAATGCATAAGGTAAGAATTAATAAAAATTCAATACATTTTTCATTTAAATCCACAAAAATTTTATTTTAACTAAAATTATTAAATAAAAGAAAAATAATTAATTAAATGAAAATATTTTACATAGAATTTACTATGTGTTTTATTTATTCAAATGTAATTTGGATTTGCAAAATATAATTAATAGTTGGGCAAA